ATTACCAATATCAGTGGTATCTGCATAGCAAGTAATTATTTTTTATCACTAAAAATGTTAGTAGCTGAAATTCTATAGGCTATCTGGCTACCATATTTTATTTCCAACAATGTCGCAGATATAAGAGAGCAAATGAAATTCTAAATATTAAGGAAATACAAGGAAGACATATATGCATTTTAAATTTTCCTTCCTACTCCGGACAATGTTCTCATAGATATAAGCATACAATAAACTAGGTTGAGAGGTAGGCCTTTTACTTGCTTATTTTGAACAGTGATCTTCCATGTTGTAAGACAAACTTAGAAAGTGATGGACTTTTCATATAACACTGAAGCCTAACATTCATATTACTTGTTCCTTTTTTTTTTTTACAATTGTGAAGAAGAGATGTGCATTTTGGTCCAAACTGGGATAGTTTGCAGAGGCTGCTCTTTCTGATCTCATTGTTTTGCCCATTCATATCCTAGCTGAGTTTTTCACTGCCTTGTTCTGTCCACACTACCAGTGTGAAGTACAAAGAGAGCAGAAGCAAGAATAATGCTTTCTTTTTATCTGACTTGCTATAGAAGGAATGGCCACAAATAATATGGCAAGCTCGTGCTAAATACACTTAATCAAAGTAAGAATCATTGATTTGAAATATAACTTTAGGAAGGCATGCTGTGGACCATTACCATCAGTATCTGTCAGCCTATAACACTTCTATTTCTTTGGGCTGAAGAAGATTAGAGAGTGCCTTGGTAACCAAAAGAAATGTCTGATAACCAAATATTTCTTACTTTTGAAAGAGATTATATAAATGAAAACAGCCTCACAAGAAAAATGGCACTGTCATATTCTAAGGCAGTGTTTCTCAACCTTCCTAATGCCATGACCTCTTAATACTGTTCCTCATGTTGTGGTGAACCCTAACCATAAAATTATTTTTGTTGCTACTTCATAACTGTAATTTTGCTACTGTGATGAATCATCATGAAAACATCTGATATGCAGGATGTATTTTCATTCATAGGACCAAATTTGGCACAAATACCCGATACACCCAAATTTGAATACTGGTGCGGCTGAGGGGGGGGGGATTGATTTTGTCATTTGGGAGTTGTAGTTGCTGTGATTTATAGTTAACCTATAATCAAAGAGCATTCTGAACTCAACCAATGATGGAATTGAACCAAACTTGGCACACAGAATTCCCATGACCAACAGAAAATACTGGAAGGCTTTGGTGGGCATTGACCTTGAGTTCTGGAGTCATAGTTCACCTACATCCAGAGAGCACTGTGGACCCAAACAATGATGGTTCTGGACCAAACTTGGCACAAATACTTAATATGCCCAAATGTGAAAACTGGTGAAGTTTGGGGAAAATAGATTTGACATTTGGGAGTTGTAGTTGCTGGATTTATAATTCACCTACAATCAAAGAGCATTCTAAACCCCACCAACTATAGAATTGGGCCAAACTTCCCACACAGAACCCCCATGACCAACAAAAAATATTGTGTTTTCTGAAGGTCTTTGGTGATCCCTCTGACATGCCCCATGACCCCCCCCCCCCCAGGGTCTCGACTCCCAGGTTGAGAAACACAGTTCTAAGGGGTCAATGGAAATCATTATGATGATAATGTGAAAGCAACTTTCAGTTTAAGTGCAGTTCAAGACTTCAGGGAAGTTAGTATTCAACTTCAAATTTCAGTGCTGGGCTCTACAATCTCTTCCCTAGATACAAGTATATTTCAATTAACAAAGCAGATGTGTTTGCATTATTCCTTTAACAGAAACTATGGTACTAGAGGCAGAAATAACATGGAAATGCAGGTACAGGTTTCTACACAAAAAAGAGCAGTTAAGCTGTTTTAGCAAATCTTTAATTCAAGATTAACAATAAACACATGTGAATTGAGATAACTAGACAGACAGGATTTCATAAGCCTTCACTTTTCTAATGATGTTCATTTTGGTGACCAAACATAGAGAGTTGAGTTTCTGAATCTTGCTGCTGGTAGTTGGTGAAGCAGGCTTATCTCTTCTCTGTTTTGCTGTAAGGGATTTTGAGATGTGTGGCTATTTATCTTGTATGTTGTAGGTATTCACAGCAACATACAACAGGACTCACTATAGTAGAATCCTGCCACTTTTCAGCACATTTTAATTGCCTTATTTTCTTAAGACACATTACTGCAACCTAACACCAAAAGTCCTGGTTTATCCAGCACTTTTTCTCCCAATGCTAAAAAAAAACCCTAACTCCAATGAGATCGAGAATGAGGAGGAAAGATAGCTGGGTGGACATAAAAAGACTGTGTGAAAATAAGCTCATTTATCATACCCTTAGTTAATTTAGGCCCCTAACGTGCCACGGGGCATTATAAAAGGAAACAACACTGAGGGACGAGGTGTATTTCATCCAGTTTAAGTTATGTCACCAGAACAGTCTATCTGCATCATGACTGAATGTTGGAATAAGATGAACACACTAGTCAAGAATCACTTAAATTCCATTATTTTTAATGGGAAATTTTTGCATCACATTGATTGGATTAAGTCTATTATCTGTAAAGATTTGAGTCCCTCTGTGGAGGTTGAGATAGGATGGGATATAAATGTCCTAAATAAATAAATAAATAAATAAATAAATAAATAAAATCTCTGTCTCTCTCTCTAATCTCAAATTTGACACAATGATTATTTCCTAGAGATTCACACCAAGCAGCAGCAACAATAAGAGAAAACAATGTGGTTTCCAGTCTCAGCCTTATAAACAAAAAAGACAGGAAACACACAAAAAGGGTGTGGTAGGGAAAATATAAAGATGACACCTTTCCTTAGAAGGAAGAGATTAGGCTAATAATAACGCTACAAATTTGAGTTGTTTATATCCAGTATGAAGTGAGATTCAAATTCTCTTTCTGAGATATAATTACTTAGTGGGTGAAAGAGGCCGGCTCTTTCATGCTCTATGTCTTCAGCTTCAGGAGAGCAGATATTTCTTTCTGATGGAGAGTGTGGGGTTGGAGATTAGGAGAAAGCAGACACTCTGCCACTTCTTATCTTGCTGTTGGTTGTGGCCAAACTGGTCTTCCGCACTTTCTTCCTGGGAGAATGAGAAGAAGATTCCCAAAGGTCTTTGCTCTTCTCTGTTGTGGTAGAGTCACTTTTCTACTTCAAGTTGTTTGTGGCATCAGGCCATGGCTAAGCAAGCACTGAAAACATTCAAATATTCCAGAATATTTGTGACCACATATTGTACAAATTAATTCTATGGCCTTTTGATATAAGAAGACCATAATTTATAGTATTAAGGCCGGACTCTAATAAGAAAACTAGGAGACTGCAGATGAATCGAAGTCTTAATCATTTTTAAATACAGTTATTTAGACAGATAGAACAAACAATGATATTTTGAATAGCTTCAAAATGATGAGATTCTAACAGAAGAAACTACAAAGTATAGAGTTGGCACTATATTGCTCTTGGTGTTTTCTAACTCATATACTCATACTATAGGTCAGTTGTCTGTCCAAATCAGCTACTTTTTGATAAGGATCCTTTCCACCTTCAGTGTTATTATTAAAATATTTCTGTTCATTAGCTCTGTTTTTATTCCCCTTTATGTAAATATTGTGAGAATTTACATGTGGATTTTCATCAACACACAGGAAAGTGTGGAAAAAATGAGAGACTGACCAAGACCAGAAATGCACTGTAGAGGATTCACCAATTGAAGGAAGAGACTTTTTTAAACTTTTCTTCACAAAGCATTCTGTGACCAATAAAAAGCTGCCCCAAAATAAATTGGCAGTGGGAGCTGCAGGGAGAAGACAAAGTTAGAAAAGGCCTTCCTTTTGTTCTTCCTTCATAAGGAAACCCTCTCATAAGGATTTTCCCTTTTCTTTTGTTTGTGGAAGAGATGGTTTAGGGTCAGTGGTGTGGCTCCACTACTAATATAAGGCTTTTTGTATCAACATGCATAAAATTTCATCCTTAACTAAAATAGGATTGTTTCTAATTTTGTCCAAGTGCATAAAATGTGATTGATAGCTATTTCCTTGTTTCCATTACACAGCAAATTGATACTTCATTTCCATGAAGTCCTAATTTGACTTCAATGAGACCAATGTACCACAGATATCTCATTCTACATCTCTCTCCTTTTTTTGACCAGGGACCACTCGACCAAGGATGACTCTCCAACATTAATAACAAAGGGGTTACGAATCCGTTTTTGGTCAACTTTAGATTTGGTTTGGTTATTTGGGGTTCTGATTCAGAAAATTGCATAGGATAGACCACATCAGCTCTAGCTTCGGATACAGAACATATGCCATCCAGTAGTCACCATCTGTTCACCCACAGAAAACCATATTTAATAATCTAGAGCTGATGTTGTAGTAGTAATCTTTCATAGGTAGTCAGCCTCTCCCCTCCCAACATCCCCATTGCCTCGGCACTATAAGAGGGTTTCACAAGATCAGTCACTCTCATTGTCATGCGATTTTGAGGCAACTGTGTAGGAATGATGAGGCTGCAGACCATATTTTCATTCTTGCAGACCACTGGAGGTCCATGGAGGAACCACTGAAGTAGATAGATACTAGCAGATAGATAGCCTGGAGAAAGAAAAAGCCAAAAGGCACTAATCACATTTTATTTATACATAGACCGGGGGGGGGGGGAGTACTGTGCTGTGTTCTTTCTCCTCTGCTACCTCGCCCCACTTTTAAATGCCAGAGAATAGGTACCAAGTATTTTTATTCAGCTTCCAGATATTCCTCTATGGATAGGTGGTTGTAAAAACTTGCTTCATGTAGATGAAAATCAGAATGATAATGTTTTACCGCTAGGAGATTTTATTTCCTCAAGAAAGGGATTGTAACAACATGATTTAAACCTGGTCTGTGTCTATTGTAGGAGAGTTGTTTGTTTTTTAGGGATATTTTTACCTTTCTGGAGGAAAAAGGGAAGTTTTAGCTAATAACTATTTGGTTCATTTACAGATCATGATTTTAGAAGGAACTGGCAGAATGAGTCTTAATTCCGTCACAAGTCTTCTCCATGAGCAGCCATCCTGGACTGATGGATATCCACCATGCAATGGTAGGAGGAATTCACCACTGGATAGATTGGGGAATTGTGTCTCTTTCCCTTGCCCTTATATGTATGAAAAAATACTCAGGCTCTTTGATACTTTAGTGGAATGAAATTGTTTGTAAAATGACCTACTGTCACTATGTAATTTTTAAAAGATAGGCATTTTGCACCACCGGATTAAAATGCTAAGTAATCAATATAATATATGAAATTTTGCTCACTGATGTATCTTCTTATCTGCCCATTCTTTCCCTTAGTGTTGTATACTGTAAAGAGTATCGGCAGAAACTATACAAATGGTACTTAGATATATTGTAATCTATCCCTTACATCTGGAACATTGCCTCTGAAAATTCTCCATTCCAGTTCTTGCTGTTTAATTAATATTGACTGGGTGTCACTGGAACGTAAACCTAAAGGTGCCACCTGTGGCTAGATGTAATTTTGGGTGAGGCAGAAACCTCTTTGTTTGGCATTTGACAGATATAACCAGTAGTCTTGATTTCAAATAGGTCACATATATAGGGCAAGGTCATTAACGTCTGTTGTTGTCTCTGTTACATGCAAAGCAATTAAGAGTTGAAGTCCCTAGTTCTAATTTCTGTGCATAAAAATGTGATTATATCAGGGCTCTAAGTGCATGAACATGATTTAATTCATAAAAGATTTTCCTGAACTCAAAAGACTTCCACAGCACCATCCTAACCCCGGTCAAATAATTACACCATGTTGCAATTCATCCATTTCATTCTTAGAGTTTATCATACTGGGTTACTTACCCAATTAAAAACATATTTCTTTAAAAGACTTATTTTTAAATTGTGGTTAAAATTGCTTGCAGAATATTCGCTAATAATTACACAATTGAAATGTGTTGCTGAAAAATCACCTACATGCAAAAAAAGGAATCACTGTTGACTGTTAAGAGTATTCCAGTTCTTGTTCTTGAGAGAGTTAAATGTTTATGTAAAATATAAATGAGAATGTAAAATATTTTTCCAATGATAGGAAGAAACATTTCTATGAAATGCAAGCACAGAAATTGCAAAGCGCATTTCAGCATCTTCCAGAATAGTTTTGGTTTTTCTATTTTGTTCATATCCCCCCAAGATTTTGAACATTAAGTCCAATTACATATCAGTATGCAAATTATAGATGAATATATATAATTTGTAATTAAGTTTATTATAGATAAGGATAAAGATAATGGATACAATACAATTATGTTGTTTGCTGGATTTTATTGAGAGAGCCTTCTGAGTGCTTGTTTCTGGTATTTGTCAGTGAATTTTTGAAGACGTTTAATACATATTTTCTTGTGGAATTGTATTTTTTGCACTCATCAGTTTGCATAAGAGTGTCTTGGAGAAGGAACATACTATATGTATTGGTAACAATAATTACATTGGTCACATGTGAATTAATTAATTCATTTATTTATTAACATATTCCAGGCCCCATCTACACAGCCATATAATGCAGATTAACTGCATAATCCAGTTCAATGCAGTTCAATCTGCATTATATGAGTGTACACAGACCATTATAATGCAGTTCAAACTGCATTATATGGCGGTGCAGATTGGGCCCCACCTTTCTCCTAGCACCGGTTTGAAGGAAGCTTGCAACAAGTTAAAACTGAGTATGTTTTAAAACTAAAACTCTATTGGAACAAAAGTTTTATTAAAAACATAAAGATAAAATAGTTTCAAACTTATTTAAAATGTAATTTTTTAAAAATCAAACACAACACACCCTATTAAATGCTCATTCTGTACCAATGAATTTGAAAATGCCTACCTAAATAACAAGGTTTTTTCCCTACTCCTTTGGAGTGGGAGGGCACCCACCTTTCAGTAAGGTCCAGATCTGTTGGGGTGTTTTATTAAGTCAAAGAAAACTGGTAAAACACAATTTACTTTGTATTAATCCGGGTTTACCTGAGGCACCTCAAGCCCTCTTCTACACTATTCTTATATCCCAGGATCTGATCCTAGGTTACCTGCTTTGCACTGGATTATATATCTCTCCATTGCCAAATAATCTGAGATCAGATCCTGGGATATGGGATAGTGTAGAAGGGACCTCAGGTAAACCGATTACCTATCATGGGTTTTCGGTCTGTGTTGAAGGGCCCTAAGATAACTGCGGACAGGATGTCTTATTTAAAACAACCATCATTATTGCTACCTACAATTCCTGGAAACAATGTTAGCTGGCAAATGAAAAAGGAGCTTCTGCAGTTCTTATTTGAGTACATGGGAGGAGAACAGAAGATCTTAGAAGCTAAGTAGGGCCAGCCCTGGTTAGTACTTGGATGGGACACTGTCAACTGATGCTGTAGTTTCTATTTCAGAGGAATAAACTGGCATAACCATTTCTGAAATTCATTGGGGTCCATATGTCTACAGGCAACTTCAAGAGACAAACACATGCTCAAAACTAAATGTCAGATAATGGTCTGCAAGACCAAGCTGAGTTTTGTGGGAGGGTAGGCATGAAACAGAATGTTGTTCTATCTGGACAGAGCATCATACTACATCTTCAGGAGCCAAGTGTACAACTTATCAGGAGGCCCTTTCCCATTAATAATTATGGCATTATGATTCCTTTGCCACCAACTGAGGCTGGTGATTCGGTGGAGGACTAGTGGAGATTCAGGCAAAAATTCTAAATATCCTTTCCCTAAATTGCAAGTTACATATAACCATGGTACTTAAAGTGGAATCATAATGCTATAACTGTATAAAAGGGCCTTGGATGGGGTTCCATTTCCTCTGAAACTAAGTTTCACAGCTATAGGTTTACTTGGATTAGGTACTACTTCAGAATCATGAGTCAAGGACAGCAATCATTAATTCTTTTTACCAGCTTGAGCAGGTCTGCTAGCTGTACTTTTTCCTGGATGGGTACAATGCAATTGCAGTGATTAATGCCTTACTGCCTCAATGACATCTAGATTAGATCATCATAGTATGAACTACACCAGGTTTCCTTTACAGGTTTTTAGAAATAGTAACTGTTCCAGTATGTACCCACTAAGTTAGTCATTGTGACAGACCTTTGGGTTAATGAAATATTTATTCTGGCACACCTTAATTGTCTTCTAGCCAGTTTCTAGGCATACTTCAAAGTGTTATCTTCACCTTTTGAAGCCCTAAAGTGGTGGGTAAGGTAAAAGGCATTGGCCTTCTAGATGTTTTGGTCTATATCAACCATGATTTTTACACAACAAGACAGGGTTAAGAGATTGTAGAAGATGTAACTGAAAACATCTTGAAAGGTCAACAGTCCCCCTCCCTGATTGATAAGGTTTGAAATATATGACATTTTCGACAAATATTTATCTAGAGACCCTGGTGTAGTTTCTCTCCTTTCTCCATACAGTGGACAGTTACCTGGGGCAGAATTTTCAGGTGTGATTATTGAATTCTCTTCTCACAGTTTTTGTTGTTCATTTGTTGTGGTCCTTCAGGTGTTGGGTGTTGGTAGTTCTCAGATCTAGGTTCTTGTGGGTTTTTTCTCAGATCCTTTGGCACTATCTGTAGCAATTATTTAATGTCCAAAGAGCTTGCTTTGTCACCTCTGTTACCAAATTATTTAGTTCCTGGCCCGTTTCTTGTGTTCGCTTCTTACTTTGATTTTCAAAATAATTGCCTCAGTGACATCCAAATTAGATCACTATAGTATGAACTTTTAAAACAAAAAAACCTAAAGAATTTTGAGGCCTAGCTGACACATCAGATCAAAAGGCATCATGTAAATATTTCTAGAAGTACATAAACTAATATAAACATTTGGGATAAATAATGTTTCAAATAATCAATTTGTTTCTTGCAGCAACTGGTAGTTTTTTTGGAACTCAGTGGCACGAAATACACCCACAATATTGGACAAAATATCAGGTCTGGGAATGGCTCCAGCATCTCTTGGACACCAACCAGCTCGATGCCAACTGCATTCCTTTCCAGGAGTTTGATATCAGCGGTGAACATCTGTGCAGCATGAATTTGCAGGATTTCACTCGGGCAGCTGGTACAGCTGGACAGCTTCTCTACAGCAGTCTTCACCATCTGAAGTGGAATGGTAAATACACAGTGAACCGGAAGCAACCTTTCCCAACGTTGAAAATCTCAGATCACAGATTACATCTTCCCCCAACCTCCCACCAGGCATTGAGGGGTAATTGAAATTGTAGTTCAATATCATCTGGGAAACCAAGGCTAGTGATGTCAGGTATAAGTAATGTTGGCCTGAACACATGATTTTAAAATTAAATGCCATTTGTAATTGAAAAGAGAGGAATGAGAAACTTCAGATTTTAATCTGTCCTTCACTATTGATCACAGAGAACATGTAGAAAACAAAAATATGTAATCTATTGTGGAAATTTGCTATGGAAATATTGTTTAGTGATTGTTCTTTCTAGATGTCTCTGAGGTCTAGAGAAATAATAATTATGTTTGTGGTGGTACATGTTTCATACTATTATCAGAGAGGTATCAGTTCTCTAATATGGAAGACTTTGTATTGGAGTCAGGGAAAACTCCATGTTGAGCTTGAACATAACAAATTGAACCTTATTGCATAGCAAATTTGCCATGCTGCCAAAATCTCAAAGCAATAACTTTTGGGCTTATATATAGTCATAGAGATAAGGATAGATAATGAATGTTTCATAATTATACATTTTCCCTGTATACCCCAAAGTCCTGTAGAAGAGCAACTGAGACTAAAATTTCTGAATGTAGTGGGTTGTTGTAGGTTTTTTTCGGGCTATGTGGCCATGTTCTAGAAGCATTCTCTCCTGACGTTTTGCCTGCATCTATGACAAGCATCCTCAGAGGTAGTGAGGTCTGTTGGAACTAGGAAAATGGGTTTATATATCTATGGAATGACCAGGGTGGGACAAAGGACTCTTGTCTGTTGGAGCTAGGTGTGAATGTTTCAACTGACCACCTTGATTAGCATTTGATGGCCTGGCAGTGCCTGGGTCTCTGAATGTAATTGACAGCATACACAGAATGATTCACATTAAAATGTATACTCTTAGATGTACTGCTGCCAAATTGTTCTTCTAAGTAATATTTTAACATGAAGAAGATAAGTCTATGATAAGGACTCAGGAGCAAGAATAATGTGGGGAGGATTTCTTAAGGAGACATTATCAAGCAAACAACTGTTTTTCTTATGCATTCCAATATAATTGCCAGTGTTAGGTGGAATTGATTCCTGTCATCAAAACAGACCACAATATGGTTTTCAAATTCTGCCTTTTTGTAGGTTTAGTTGCTTATTGCATGTTCCATTTATTTTTTCTCAGGTCAATTTGGAAGTGAAATGTACCCATCACAGAATGTCATTGTCAAGACAGAACAATCAGGTAGGTTATGGTATCCATCTTGGTGTTGCTAACAATAGTAAGAAACTCCTCTCCAAAAGCCAGTTACCATATTTATTCAAAGCTAATGCTCACCCTTTTTGGCTAGATTACATAGCCCAAAGTGAGTTGTGCATTAGATTCAATGGTACATTAGAATTGCATAAACCTGCCTGCGCTGGCCTCGGCCTGACAAAGGGGTATGAGTTCTCCAGCCTCGGCCTGATGAGGCATCTGAACGGCCAACAGGCAAGAGGAAGGTGCGCATTACATTTGACAACATTGTTTTTGTTTTTTTGACAACATACTATTAGGCCTCTGATTAAATCAATGATAAATGTTTAAATATTATTTTCAATGAGTGAGAATCAAGATAGTTTCCCATCGAGGTCACTAAACCTTGGAAGGCTTTAGCAGTGGCTAAATTGTGGCTTGAATCTGTTGTTTCTAAATAATCTGATTTTTAAGAGTTACTTAAAGGCCAGCTACTGTTAGAAATGTACAAAAGCCAAGAGCAGTAGACTGTTGAACACCAGCTGAATCTTATGAAAAAGCCTTTTCAAGACTATTTGTTGACTGGTCAATGACAGTCATTTTACCCACAAAAAGAATACAAAATCTCAGAGGTTGAAAAAGTTACTTTTTGAACAGGAACTCCCAGAATCTCTCAGCCAATGGAAAGAACGTTGTTAAAAAGTATTTTTTTTATAACTGAAATTGTAAGCCCTTCTTGTGCATTAACTTTTCATCAGCTAAAATGATGATATGTAGAAGGACCCCGGCATCTCTCACTAGAAGGATCCGCCATAAAGCTGTGGAAAGGTAATCTGTCTCTAAAGCCTTCGAGAGCCTATGCTTATCAGAATATAAAACATCTGGTCCAACCAGATATAAGTTCCTTTTTTCAGACAGCCCTTTTTGATGAAGATGACATGGTAGTGATGAAAAGATTCACATTAAAAATGAAAGTAGTTGGTGATGATTGAAGAAATATTGGTAATCATTTGTTAGGTTAGAGAAGAACATCTTGCTCAGTGGGATACATGAAATGGACCTATCTGTCTTTCTGAGTTGCTTCCTAATCAGCTGCAAATATAATAATCACCCCCTACTAAATAGTGACATATTTGTCATTGATTTCTGTGGCAAGGAGATTGCAACCCCACCTGGTATTTCATGAGTTCATTAGAGTGAGATCACCAATGTAACTTTTCTGACAACTTAAGATGTACCAGCGGGGAGTGCTTATAAATTGTGCAGAACTACTGTTCTTATACTGTGCAAAAACACAAATGCTTCCTAGCCCCACTTGGGTGAGGCTTGTTTTTAGAGAAAATAATGGATAGATCAGGTGTCCAAACACCAAGAGGGTGTGTGCTGTTGTGAGGACATCGGTTTGGGGCTTTGGGGTGCCCAAACACGTAGCTCATAAGTAGAAAATTGGCTAAATTCCTATGTCATAACTCTTCACCTAACCAAGCACAGTGACTTAGCAACTGATTCATGTTCAGCTGCGATCACATTCTTTACTGTAAAAGGCAAATAGATCACCAAAATGACTTGTATTTTGAAATATAAACAAAAGCAAACTTCATAGTTCCTAAAATCTAAGTTTTGTAACAATACTCTCATGAGTGTCATATGCAAACTGTTCATGTGCTATAGTTCAAAAGGTTACCTTGAAATAATTGTGAAATCTTTGTTTCCTTTCCTCATTACAATAAATCCTATTGGTACTTCCAAATTCAGCAGACCCATTGAAACACCAATTGGATGTTGAGTCAACACTAACATAAATCAGGTTGTTTCAGTGAGCCTGCTGTATGTACTTTACCCAAACTCAGTTGTTTTTTATTTGCCTTGTTTTGTCTTTCTCTGCTTTATATGGACAATGATATAACTGCAGTTCAGTTCTATGCAGTCTTAAGCCCCAGGAGCATATGCCATCCAAAGCAATCTTAAGCACATTTGCTCAGCAGTAATGTGCTTGATTTCAGTGTGACTGATACCTGTATGAGTTTGCATAGCTCTGCAGCGATAATCATGGTATATATGAAGTTGAACACATCTTTATTTATATATTTATTTATTCCATATATTTATATCCTGCCCTTCTCCCCACAAGGGGGACTCAGCATGGCCTCACATGAGCATCAGAGGATGCTAACAGCATAAATACCATAAAAATTACAATTCACAATAACATCATTTTAAAACATTGTACATCATCAGTAAAATTTAACAATAAATTAATAGATTAACGTTCATTCAGTGCCTTCTGCTGATTCCCATTTCTCTATATCCCCTTTTTACTGGTAATTCTGCTGAAGTAACCCACATTAAAAAATCCTACTTAGTTCTGAAGTTTTATGCTGGTGTTGAGCAAATCATTGTGACTCAAGTCCAATCTATACAGCAGAACGACTGCTTCAATTTCAGTGAGGTCATTATGTTCACTGGCCTTTCCTTGGTCTTTTTGTTGATGCTGTGTGCCTTCCAAAATTATAACAAGCTGAAGGTGATCCTGTCATGAATATTTTCTTCACAAGATTTGTTCAAGGGGGTTGCCTTTGCCATGTGAGAGTGTCATTTGGCCAGGATTACCCAGTGGGTTTCCACAGATCAGTTGGGTTACTGACCAAAACAAAATAACATCCATTGTTCATTACAACAACCTAAGTGAGGTAACCTTAAAGATCCAACATTCAAACCGTGAAGTGTGCAGATGTCTCATTCTAACCAAGTGAACCATTCTATTTGCACTCTACTTTCATCCAATTTGTGAGATATTTAACTGTTAAACTTTCTATGCTTTCTGCTTATTGTAGATTTTAGTTGTCTATTCTTAATATTGAAATGATTCTTCTTCTTTTAATCTTAAAACAACCTCGTGTACATCAGCTAAAGAGGTGTGGAATCTTGATATATAGCTCTTTAAGTTTTGCTGGGTTTAGCCAGTTGTCATTTCTATGGCTACTTCCATTCCTTTTTGAGATGGAAGTAATTCCTTGAATTTGCAGTGAGGCTCTTCCACTTTTTTAACAAAAAGGTGTGGTTTGCTGCATAGGTCCTATAGTGAAAGAATTCAATTTTTTGTTAAGACTTTTACCACCTTATCACACAAGGGGCTTTTGACCCCTTGCTTCTCTTCAGATACGGGGCCTGCTGAGCGCCATTACACAATGCTGGCCGTGCCCCCACCTCATTAATTGCCAAAGTGGCAAGAAAGCACCACAAGACTTCTCTTCACTGACAATGCAAAGTTAGCCATCTTTTGGGTAGCTCTGATAGAGCTACTCACGTTTTTTGGCCCTCCCCCCCCATCTGATGGGAAAAAGGGTAATGCGGCAATGTGCATTGCCGCCCTTTCCCCCATTTGATGAGGGCAGGGACAGGGCAACAATGCACCTTGGCCCAATGCCCCCATGTGATGGGGGAAGGAGGAAGGGTGTGCGGGTTGCTGTGAGGCATCACACATGTATTCCATTTGACCAGCAATTGCTGGCGAAATAGATTTAAGTGGGGGGAGGTCAATATAATGAACTCCATAGTGAAAAAGTGCCATTTGACTGATGTACATTATAACACTAACACTCTAATTAAAATTAACAATTTAAAAAAATCTAAAAAGAGATAAAGGAGGACAAGGGAGGAATACTTTTTTGATTAAATATATTTTGGAATTAAAACAAAACAGGCTGGAAGGTGTGATTGCAATGTTTGCATCTGGTGCTGGGAACTGCCTGAAAATAGGCCATGGCAACAGTATCTGAATATGATTGTAAATGTTTTTTAAAACCCAAGAACTACTGTATCAATATTTATTTATTTATTTATTCTTTTGTTTTTTGTTCTTTGTTTCAGATCCATGTGCAATGACATCCTGGAAAGATGACAATTATTTCTATGACAATGGTTATGGAGGCACAGTAGGTAACTAACAATCGTTTTGTAATAATTCTGGGAGTTTAAAGGATTTTTTAAAATACTTTTTCTACTTGAATTTTTCTCTCCTTTTTCACTTTTCAGAATTAGTGGACAGCAAAGCCTATTGTCGAGCACAGATTTCAATCAATGCTGCTAATCACCAGCCTATCGGTAAGAATGATCACAGTTTTCATGGTGAAAGGCTATGCCATAATCTTTGAAACATTTGCTGATGTTGTTTTGAAATTCTGTTGCATTATTTCATGTATGTTTGCAATATGATCCATAGTGCTTTTTCCTTTTCTGAATACATCTTGGATATCTGGCATTTCCCTCCCCATAGAAATGATAGAATTCACAAATGCCCTTCATTTGGACCATACAGAATTCTGTTTCCAGTAGCATCCTTGTTGTTGTTTGTGTAAATTATAGCAAGTGCCTAAGTGGCAGCTGTGTGAAGGATGGCTAAATTGCTCCTGAAAGAGACTTCCACATTTGAGGCGTGTACTCTGAGAAGACCCTGGTGTAGAGGGTAAGCATTGGTCTGTGACTGGAGACCAGGTTTGAATCCCCATTCAGTCAAGGACACCACTGTTTAAGTGTGGGCAAGTTATGGTTCTCAGTATCAGAGCAAAGCAAAGACAAACATCTTTTGAACAAATCTTGCCAAGAAAACCCCATGTTAGGTTCTTCTTAGTGTCACCATAAATTAGAAACAACTTGAAAGTGCATAACAAACTCTAGTCAGGAGCAAAAAAAGAAAAAAAAGAAAAAGAGGTTTAGGCCTATGTTTACTATCATTCTGATTTACAGCAGCTTTATAGCCCACACACTTCAAACACATGATTTCAGCATCTCATGTTTGTCTTTACCTTTACTGTCCTCCCATTCTCATAAAATGGCTGTCAGCTCTTCAAATCACTCTTGACAGTTGTGTGTTTCAGTTTCAAGTTGTGGTGTGTTTATTCTCATACTGGTTATTCCTGGTGGACAAGTGGCCTGCCAAGGGCACAGCACATTGTAAAAACCAAATTTGTATATTCTGGAAAAAGAAATTGTTCACTCTTGAATCATATGCAAATACTGGGCATTTTTTTCATCCCCAAATTTTGCAAGATACCTTTGTTGAAACATATATATTCAGCTGTCATAGCATGACCTTCAGAAATACTTTGTGCTTGAAACATTGTTTTTGCAAGAGTTAATAAATTAATTTCATGTTTTATGGGAAGAAGGAGGCAGAACAATCTTATACTTACAATATGCTGGGTGGGACTAGAGCAGGAGGGGGGAATTCAACTGTCCTTCAGAAGGTGAACTGCAACTCCCAGAATTCCTCATCACTGGTGACACTTATATAGCACTCGGGGGCTTGCATTTCAACAACTTGTAGTTCAGCTTCTGGATGGCTGCAGTATACATTCCCATGGACTACAAATGTGTCATCATTATGCCAGATGAACAAACATATTTAATACATGCTCTATATATCTGAGCATGTATTAGGTATGCCTTGGAAATATGTAATTATTTTTGCTTTACAAAAATAATTACAAAATTTGTCAAAATAACAGACATGCTAGAACTGATCCTACAAACAGTGTGATCCCACAGAAAATGTGGTGCCCCTGTTTCCTTTGTGCCTTTTGCAAGCAGAGAAAGTCATATCTGTATCATCCAACTCCAGTAACTTAGCCTAATATTGCCAATTCTCCGGAAACCCCTTAAGTTTCTAAGTGATCATTATGAGCCTCACATTTTTTTTACAACCCAGTAACATCTTAAAAATTATGAGCTTAGCACAGAGAAGGGGGAAGGAGAAGACTGAGCACAGCAGGAAAAATACCCTTCTGACAAACAGCAAAGGGGAGGAGGGTACCAGTATGAGTCCCCCCAGGGGTGAGAAAGGCGGTATATATAAATACTGTAAATAAATAAATAAAATAGTAAAGGGAGCCACAGCTCAACAGTCAAGTCCAAGATAGTTCTGAGGTACTTCTGAGAACTCAGACCTATAGAACAACTCCTACAAAGTATTTGTCTAGCAGCAACAGCAACCAAGTAAGCAAGACAGCATGGAATATTTTACTTTCCCCTGTTCATAGCCTCCACACAATCTTCGCACATCCTTGGACTTATTGCATGATAGTGCTTCTTTCCTGCTACTCTCCTGGTGTCTGTTTAATTTGCAAACCCAAACAATACATTAATGACTTCCTTTTGTAAAAGAAACGCCTTCAAAGGGTCTCCATCTTGGAAGGTAGCTGAAAAGGAGTGACATCAAGGCAAAGTTATCCTCGTCCTCCTGCAGTTAAGATTTCCTTTGTGTGATAAACTCCAATGAAAGCATCCAGAAATACCTGTTACCTATTTTTATTTTTACAAAGAAGCTTCTTTTTACAGTCTGCTTACATTCTCTCAGATGTCTCTTTTCCACTCAACATCTGTCTGGTTCAAAGTTTTTAGTAGCATTAACACTGGGAGGATGGAAAAGGAGGGCTAGAGATTGCAGTACAGTGACAGCATTAATCAATGCAAGAAAAGCTTGAGCTGGATAGTCAGCCACCCTGGATATGGCTGACTAAACGTCATGACAACAGCAGGTAGCTCCAGAATCCCTTATAGATCACGGTGAACACCAAAACAGAAAGAAAGAGGGATAGCAGATAAGCACGTCTCACCAGTTACCAGAAGCATGTTAAAGAAATACAGATCTATATGTTTAACAACAAAAATGGAGATTATTAAGAAATGGTGGCTAATGAAAAAAATATTGTGTATCTCTCAAAGTTTCAAGCCAGCTCTCAAGGATTCAAAGTGTTTTTCTTTACATACGCAAGGGTTACCTTTCTTGGTTGTTTAATTTCTCCTGTTTATTTTGTTAGTCTTGGATGCAAAATTCTCTGGATCATGTTGAACTGCTCTTCTTTTGAGGGAGGAGGTTGGAACCTATCCCTATTCATTTCATGTTATTTCTGGCGCTGGTACCAAATTCTCTGTTAAAAAAGTAATTCCTATGAATACACCTACTTTATCTACTGAGCTATAACTATATTTAACAAGTGTATACAACACACATTTTTATCAGTGGAGAAATCTATAAACAAATGTGTGCATTAAGAAAATACATATCCCAAATATACAATTTAGGGGGAAATCGTGCTGAAATAGAATTTTTGTGTGCAGGAGTAGAACAGGACAAAATGGAAATCTGAAAAATGCAATGGAAATGAAATTGATGAATTTTCACACCCCTACATCATGGATTGAACAATTGAACAACCCAAGTGATTTGGGTAGAATAAATACAACTCAAATATAATAGCCCCCCCCAAAAAAAGGGGGAATAACAGAACAGCAAAATTAGATCAAACTAGTTTTTAAGCCGTGGTAAACAGGAATATTAAGGGAGTAATTTTAAATTCCTAGTGTTCTCATTCTCAGATCAAAATTCATAGTTGCTTCAGGTTTCATAGAAGGCTTACTTCAGTTAAGGGTGGAAATATTGTGCTTTAATTAATTCTTGTGGCTTTCCCACAAGCTCAGCAACTTGCACAAGAGATTGGTGCTCTCTGAACTTGCCAGCGCAGAAGAGGCACAACAGCTGTAATTACCTGTGAGTGAAGGACTCACACACTGTCTTCCCCTTCTCTGGTTTGCAACCCATTTTCCTGAAGTGCTTATCAGTGTTGCAACAAAATTGTTCAAACAAGTTTGTGCAGAGGCTGGTACTTACAGTAAGTCATTTGCACATGCAAATAGGGTGATTTCCCTTGCAAGCTGTGGTGGCTGCTGATGCATGCATGTCAGCAGAAGAATCTGTGTGGGCGTTAAGCTTCCTTGGCACTAATGATCTTGTGAAGCAGACACAACACAGGTTCCTGGCAACTGTAGTTTTGAATAGCCCATGTTTGAAAGCAAAGTGCCTGGTCTCAATTGGAAAAATAATGTTAGATTAGATACACATGTGATCTGTTTTTGTTGAAAAAAGCCATCATTGTCCTGTGACCTCATCACATTGTAGTTTTGAGGGCCCTTTTTTCTTTTCTGGGCAGGGACTGTAAAGCCACATCAAACAACACTGGCTTGGTCCTGCCTCCATTCCTCGCAAAGTGGAGGGGAAGCGTCACAAGATGCTTCTTTTGCCACAACAGAGGAAAGTGTGTTTTGGGTAGCTCCAGCAGGGAGGCTGCACAGGGTGCTACAAGGTATCCCGCATGCCTGCCGTTTCACCAGCAACTTTCACCATTTGAAGAAGTCCCTAGTGTTTATCATCATGAATTCTTTATATATCTGGTAATTCATATTTCTAAGGAACCTAAGAATGAAGATTAGGTAGGCTATGAATGAGAAGGTGGACAGGGTATTTCTACCTCTCTATGACATTAAAACTTGGTCAGTTTTGCTCCTTTTTGGGCTGGTAGTGAAGAGTCCCTATCTTTATGCTTTATAAACTTCTTGACACAACTACTGTAATGCATGCCCACTGTACTGACCTTTGAGACCATTTTAAAATGCTCAAGCTGGGGCTTTTACTTAGAGACGCATATCAAATTCATTTAATTCCAGCCCTGTATTAATTTGAGTCCTTATGACAAAGGCATCCTCTGGGACATCCTGGGGCTTTTGGGAAGTCTGTAATCATCATTCTCCTCTCCACCAGCTACTACATGCATAGGCAGAAGGAGCTCATATGAAATCTCTGGAAGGGCAAAGATTAGGGAGATGTGGTATAGATCTGCCTGGACAGAACTTTGCACTATGTCTCCTGATATAGGTTCTTGGGCATGATTTATTTCTCCTTTTGAAATCCTGCTTTTATGCAAGTTTAGTTGAATATGATATAGTAAGTGGGCATGGACTATAAATGCTAATTTTGCGAGCTTTACATTAAGCCTTACATTGTGAACTTTACATTGTGATTGTGGCATGGCTCAAGTATGAAGAATTAAAAACTGACACCATTTTCTGTTACAGAAGATTCTTCAGATGTTAAAAGAATAGCCCAAGAACACACTCCGAAATCACATAACAAGAAGCACAGTAAGTCAACTGCTTTCGATCTAATGCAATACAGGTGTAATTCTTCTTAAGTGCTTATGATGCAGATAGCATCCTGACAACGACAACTCTCGCTGCAATTGACAACACAGGCGAACTGTAAAGTGGATTGGTTGTGAGAAGTAACATTTGCAATGGCCATGGATGGGAGTTTAGGAGAGAAAGGTGCCATATTATACTACAGCTCTAATGATACAGTTTGACTATATTTATTTATTTATTTATTTAAAACATTTATATTACGCCCTTCTCATCCTGAGGGGGACTCGGGGCAGAGCACAGCATATATACGGCAAACATTCAATGCCGGGACAACAATTCATTTATGCATACATAAATATTAAAAACAGTTATCTCAATATTAAAATACACTGTTTAAAACCATCTTGGTCATCTGCGTCAAATCTAATTAGCCTGGTAAAGTTTTCTATTGCTGCTTTATTGCACTGTCCCAAAAGCTTGGTCCTACAGCCAAGTTTTTACCATCCTTCTGAAGGACAGGAGGGAGGGGGCCAATTTGATCTCACCAGGAAGGGAGCACCAAGAAGGCCCTCTCCCTTGTCCCCACCAATCACGTCTGTGACAATAGAGGGACGGAGAGCAGGGCCTCCCCGGAGGATCTTAATCTCCTCTATGGTTCATAGGGGGAGATGCGTTCGGACAGGGTGGCTAAAATGATCAAGGGTCTGGAGAACAAGCCCTATGAGGAGCACCTTAAAGAGCTGGGCATGTTTAGCCTGAAGAAGAGAAGGGTGAGAGGAGACATGATAGCCATGTATAAATACATGAGAGGAAGTCATAGGGAGGAGGGAGCAAGCTTGTTTTCTGCTGCCCTGGAGACTAGGACACGGAACAATGGCTTCAAACTACAAGAGAGGAGATTCCACCTGAACATTAGGAAGAACTTCCTGACTGTGAGAGCTGTTCAGCTGTGGAACTCTCTGCCCCAGAGTGTGGTGGAGGCTCCTTCTTTGGAAGCTTTTAAACAGAGGCTGGATGGTCATCTGTTTGGGGTGCTTGGAATGCAATTTCCCTGCTTCTTGGCAGGGGGTTGGACTGGATGGCCCATGGGGTCACTTCCAACTCTATGATTCTAGGAAAATTTGGCTGGGGCAGTTTAGGGCTTTATAGGCCAAAGCCAGCACTTTGAATTGTATATGGAAAAACAGGAGGTGCAATGTAGTGTACCCAGAATATGAGTTAAAATTTTGTATTATTTTTTAAGGATAACAGATGTTGAAGCCTGATTTTGGAATCAGAAGGGGAATACATGATCTAGGAAAATGAGCACTAAAGTAGCCAGGTGTTCCTCAGTTTTTTTATATTTCCTTACATATAATGTATATTGGGTTATGTGGAATTTTGTATATGTGTGTTTGCAAATAATTTCCTCCTTGAACATGATTTTATTTTAGCTCCTCGAGGGACACACTTGTGGGAATTTATCCGAGACATCCTCTTACATCCAGAGAAGAATCCAGGATTGATTAAATGGGAAGATCGATCTGAAGGCATCTTTAGATTTTTAAAATCTGAGGCAGTAGCTCAGTTGTGGGGGAAAAAGAAGAATAACAGCAGCATGACTTATGAGAAACTGAGCCGTGCCATGAGGTAAGAAAAAACAGAAAGACTGTGGCTTACAATTGCTTGTATTTAGTGAATATGTGCACACACGCCTTCAAATCACCTTAGTGACTCCATGAATTTCATAGTGTCTCCTTTGGCAAAAAAGACTCAGATGTAGCTGTGACAGTTCCTTCATTTAAAATATAGCCTACAGCACCTGGTATTCGTTGGTGGTCTCCCATCCTATTCTAATTAACTACTCGTAATTTACTACCTTTACATATGGACCCAAATTATATGGTCACATTACATTGAATGGGAAAAAGATACATACTTGCAAATGATGCAGTCATCTTAATATTTTTAAAACAATTATTTTGCTTCCAATAAGATTCCTATTGCAAAACTGAAATTATTACCTATAAATTTCGCCAGGCTGATTTCATTGTAACAGTCTATAATCTATCATGATAGCAATAAACATGTCCAGCATTTCAGGTTGCTGGTATCTTCCTAAAATTGTTATATCAAATAGTTGTATCAGTCCCACCTGCATCTGAGTTGCCCAGATTTGGAGGTCTGTAGGCCTTGATTTGCCAGTATGATGTTAATGGAAATTAGTGCATGAAATATTTAAAAAGGGAATGTAGTAATTACATCTAAAAGATATTGCTACAAACCAGCTACAAGGAAGACACTCCAAGGCTTAACTGCATGAAGTCAAAAGTGGGGAATGCTTTAGAATGTGGGTGAAATGGTCCCACACTTTGGCCTCAGCATGTACCACTACCACCTTCCTTTTTCCATGTGCTCATCAATGCAGAGAAAAGAGGAGAGATTTGGTCCATGTCACCCTCATCCTGATCATGCATGGTTGGGCTACTGAAATTCTACTTGAAGAATCTTACCCACCAAAACCCTTATTTTTAAGTATTATATTTCCTAGATTCCTTTGGAGTTGACCATGCTAGCTGGGAATTGTAGGGCCAAAAGTAATGTTTCCAAGTTCTGGTTCTAGCATTGGCTATGGAGGGTGTTCTGTGGGAGGACAGTGTTCTATTTCATAGTTTGTTATACACCAGATTATATTATCAGAGGAACAGTAAGCACTAAATTATATTTCTTTTTTTACTTAAAATGAAATAAACTGTTTTCTGCTTAGAGAGAAAAATAGCTTGTTTGCTGAGCCAAATTCTGAATTTCACCCAAGAGTTCTTCTACAATCATTACTAAATATATTTTTGTTAAATCTGGTTTTATTATTTATTTTCAACAGGTACTATTACAAAAGAGAAATTCTTGAACGTGTAGATGGCCGAAGACTAGTATACAAATTTGGGAAGAATGCACGTGGTTGGAGAGAAAATGAGAACTAAAGGCAACTCAAAAACAACAAAAACCAACCCCCAATAATTACAGTTATATAATAGAGCTACCACTAGAAGGAACTCATAGTGGATGTAAATATTTCAAAGACTGTTTTCTTCTATTTATGTACAAAATTGGGTGGAAGGCAGTAATCTACTCTAGTGGGAAGAAGGAACTCTGTTTTTTGTTGATGTTAATTATTTTTTATTTGAAACATGTCCTTCTACAGGGAAAAATGTACACAGGTTTCTGTGAACAATGATAATGTGGTGTGGTTGTGTTTGGGTATGTATTTGCCTTTCTTATGAAGATGCTTGAAAAGTGTATTCTGGGATAAATGTGATTATTATAATACTGTGAGAGTTGTATGCTGTGGGAGGAAATCATAGGGCATTACTTTTTATTTGAGAGGCTGAAATAAGGCCTATTACTTCCTATATATGAAACAAATGAGGACTTACCTTTTTTTTCTCAGTTGTAAGGATAGTATGAGGAGATCTGTCCATGCAATGTCATGTCTCTCTTATTAGACGCAGCAGCATGCTAAGAGATAATCAGCAAACTTGGCCTGTTGCTTACATCTTTCATTGGAACAAATTGTGGTTTGGCTTTATTTGGAGTCTTACATTTAGAAGCAAATTTGATTCTTCAATTGAAGATTGCATTATGTTGACATAGAACCAGCTCTCACTCAGAAAGGATGTTTAAAAATGTGGATTAGTTACATTTGTGATATCACTGAAAGGTGTTTTTTTTAACTAAGTGAAAGGTTTCCATTTTTGTTTAAAGTTAATGTGGTCCACATGTACTGAAATCATGTCATACTATGACAATGGGCCCTTTCACATTGCTCACTTCTAATTCTGTGATTCCACTTTAATTGCCTTGGCCGCATCCTATAGAATCCTGTGATTTGTCACTTGATGAGTGCTACAGCTCTCTGGCTTAGTATTCGGAGGTCCCTTTCTCACAGACGAATAAATTCCCACATTATCTGCTTTGAACTGGAATATATGTCAGTGTAGACTTACATAACCCAGTTCAAAGCAGATATTGTGGGATTTTCTGCCTTGATATTCCGGGTTATATGACTGTGTGAAAGTGCCCTTAGTTACGTCACCTTAAACTGCAACCCCCAGGATTACATATGATGTTTCCATGGCTGTTGAAGTAGAGTCATAGTAGATTCATAGTACTATTGTTACACAGTGTAAAACAACCCCATGGTAGAGGTCAGTTCTCAGTTTGACTTTCAGTACAATTTTGTCCTTGCAAAGGGTCACATCTCAAACCTTCTGTATATCATAGCTAAATGACAGAGATTGTGCTTTGGGACATGTAAAGGATACTCTTTCCCATACTCCCATAAATATGATGTACATTGGTCTCAGCCTAACAGAAGTGCTAAACCTCCATCTTTATTGCACTACGTCATATTTGCACTCCCCTATATTCAAAAATACAGTTCTATTTACAGGGACTTTTTTTCTTGTTGTTCGTCTTGTTTTTTTGGAAGAGCATTCAGTCATGTGAATGCTTTGAAACAAGACAGCTCAGATGCAGATTTAACACTTCTGGTGAAACCAAGTAATTGTTCTAAGGGCTATATTTTAAAATGGCCCCTTTCACATTTCTCTAAACTAATATGTACCTCAATTGCAAACATTTTTAACTCTAATTCCGTGTTTCCATTTTGGAGTTGTTTTGGAATGGGAGCATAGGAGCAGGATAAAGCAAGTCACAGGATAGAGGAGGGCTGCTGGAAAATTGACCACTCTTTAAAGGGGATCAAAGTTTTGTGCTACCTTAGACAAACAGATTTATTATGGCATAGGCGTTTATGGACTACTGCCCACTTTATTTGCTGCAACAGGTCAATGTGGCTCCCTCTCTGGTCTTTACAGAGAAAACACACCTGGGCATGTCAGGTAGACAACACCTTTTTCTGTACAATTCTTGCCAAAGCTGTCACCATCAATTAGAGCTATGTGACATTTTTGACTTTACATAAGATGGGTGAGGCAGGTTCATCTTATTTACAGATGAAGTCATAAGACTCCGTCCTTCAGAGCATGTATTTTCTTCTTGTGTGCATATGTTTCATTATTCTGAATAGTTGTTCCATCTCAATGATTTTGCTTCCTTTCTCCTCCACTTTTTCCACATCTCCATTTTTAAAACTTGATGAGTTCGTGGTGTGTAATTAATCCTCTTTTCCTCCATAAATGTTAGACACTGGTCTCAATTTATCACTCTTTTGTGATTTGGGTATTGCCAGCACGAAGGGCTGTTGAGCCAAAGAGGCATTTCAAATGTGCAATATGTGCCATTTTTAGATATACACATATATTCTAAAGAATAAACACCTTCCAGAAGTCTCAGGCTGTACCTTCAATTAACAAATTCCTGGCAATTAAAAAGAACTTCACAAAGTGCTTTTTCTTTGGGTAATATGAGACAATAATTGAAACAAGTTCTGTGGTTTCTGCAAAACTGTAGAAAAGCTGGTGCCTGCAATGGCATGTCACAATTGTGGTGACTTTAAGGGAAGCCCTTGGGTACTTGTACTCACTGCCATCTTTTTTTCTTATTCTTTTTGGCCCTATATTTTTCTTGCTTTGGAAATTTTGCAACGATTTCATAATTTCTCAGACCATAGAAATCAAATGATGTGGAGATTATGCAATTATGTAAATGTATGTCCTCGTGGAAAAGATGATATTGTAAAGATTATGTGAAGAGTAAACTGTGTCAAGATTTTGGGAAAGTTTCTTTATGGATTACTGCTATCAAAATTCCTTAGCCAGCAACATGAGTCTGGGAGTAGTCATCCAAAAAATGTCTTTTCCTTGGTTAGAACAAGGTACGTGAAGAACTGGGTGAATATTGATGGCATGCTTATTCTGCAGACTTCAGCTGGTAAAATATGTACTGTGTATACTCGTGTATAGCTCTAGAAATTTTAGTTAAAATATTGACTCAACTTGGGTCAATACATCCACAGGCCACTATAAATAATGTATCTTAACCCTTATCAAAAAAAGGAACCATCCCATTTTCTGAATATAGTGAGGGGTGGCACTGGCATTTTCCCCTCTCTGTGAAAAGGCCCTTGACTTATCCCTGTGTCATACCAAAATCCATAATTTATCCCCCAAATCTGCCCTCAATGTATACATAAGGTTGATTTATACATGAGCATATATGGTATGCTTTTATCATGGAAAGTCGTGGGAAACAAAGTACGATGACTTTGCCATGTTTTGCTTGCATATAAAACAGATTTTGCAAAACAGTTGCTTACAATAAAATAATGCTTGTTCTAAATCAGTGGTTCTCAACCTGTGGGTCCCCAGGTGTTTTGGCCTTCAACTCCCAGAAATTCTAACAGCTGGTAAACTGGTTGGGATTTCTGGGAGTTGTAGGCCAAAACACCTGGAGACCCACAGGTTGAGAATCACTGTTCTAAATGAGCATGGTTTCCAGATATGTTCACCTGAACACAGTTTCCCTTAAACAGACTACTCTCTTTAGCCACAATTCCACTAATTTTGTGAATCTCTTTTAGCACCCTTGCCATACTGAAAACAATGTATGTTTGGCATGCATATGTGAACTTTGAATAACATCTAGTGAATAGTTTCTTTTCAGGTCCATGTTCCACTTCCACTGGATTATTAGTTAATCCCATACTATTAATCTAAGATAGTGAACAATAGAGTCAGATATTTATGACTGTTTTTAAAATGTTTCTCATTTGATTACACGATGCCATAGATTTGCAAACAGAGCCAAAATAACATTTACTCTGCCATAAAGAGAAAAGGTAAATTTATTATGTGTCCTGGGTCTTGCCAAGCACACACAGCCCTGGCCAAAATTGAACCTTTTTCCAGTTTTAAGCAATAGGACATGATGAAGACATGAATGTTTGTATCAGGTTGCCTTTTAAACATAAAGGCATTTCCTGAGATTTAATGTGTTTCCAAAAATGGAGGACTCTTTTTTATTAAAAAGGTGTATATTTTATACTAATAACATATGTATAGATTTGTATTGTAATATAATTTTAAAGATGTGTAAAGCTCTATATAAGAAGATGTTACTGTATATATAGAGATAACTGTAAGCAAATCAGATGGTCAAATAATCTGTTGATCTGCTATGCAATTTTGCTTATCACATTTTTGTGTTGAGTGCAGATTGATCTTATATTCATAAATAATGACTACTATATCCAATGTGGCTCATCTGAGATAAGTGTGCATAGGATTTAAGCCAGTCTTTTTAAAAAGACACATCTTGAGACATGTTTCTTGCCATGTAAAATGCAGAAACTATTATATGCTGAACACCACAGTTTTCATGTTTCCAGAAAATGAATAGTATCTTGTTTAATCTGCCACAGAAGTGCCGTATTAGTTGTAACCACTGATTCTGTCTAATTCTGTTAATTAAAAACCAATGCATTTTCTCTGTGTGGTGTTTTTGTTAGTAAATAAATTCCCCACTGCAAGAATGTGAAAATATAATAAATTGGTTTTTGTATGCTCTCAATTAGATTCTAATTTAGAATGACCCTAAGGCAAGATTCATTCGAGAGAGGTTGCATTTACTTTCCACTGAGGTAGAGGGAGTATGACTTAAACAATGGGTTTCCAAAATGAAGCAGGGGATTCAAATCCTAATCCAATGCTCAAACCACTACATCATGCTGGTTCTATTGTAGTAATAAAAAAACAGGAAATTAGAAGCATAGCAAATATAGAAATTCCTGTCATTAAAAGTTTTTTTTTAAGAATTGTGTTCAGAATTCTCACTACTTCTGGTATAATTGTCTGAACACAGGGTGATTAATTTTGTGATGCTTTTTAAAACTGTTTTTTGTAAGTCCAATGTCTCCCCCAAAATTGCAGCTTTTCAATTTCTTAATAGCATGTGATAAAATATGCAAACATTATTGGTCCCCTTCTGATATTAAACCTCCCACATTTCAGATATGTGTGTGTTTGCTTTTATGTGCTTTAAGAGTGTTTTGGCAGCAAATTTACCTTGCTACCACTGCCTCTCCTCCCAGAAACTGCCCTGTAGGCAAGACAAATATTCCTCTCTTTTGGCTTCATCCTTCTAGTAGTGCAACACTTTATTAAAACTAGCTGGTATACAGTAAAATAGTGCACATACACACTATAACCTATGCATTGGTGTATACACGCAGTACCCTTCTTTAGCAAGAACTCAGTGAAGAATAATATAAAAACTATGCCATTTACTTGGAAACACCCAGATGTATAAATATTTAACACTTACTTTAAATGGAATGCAACTAGGGCAAGAATAAGGTTGAGAATGAAGCAAATGATATGTCTAATTACAAACAAACACTTAGGAGAAGCCCAGTAAAGTAGATTGGAAGGGGGGGGGGATGTGATGATTATAGTAGTAGTATCATAATCATGATTAGCTATCTCAACATACAGGGCTAAAATTGGCAGCATATGCCAATCTAGCTCCAGTCACCCATGGAGCCAACTGGCTCCCATCAGATGATGTTGTGCCAGATCCATGGGTGAAGGAGGGTGGCACCAGCATGTGTTGCCATAATCTATGGTGGGGGGGGGGAGAGCCACGCGCACCATGAATGCTTCATGTGCATCACACATTCTTCACATGCACTCACACTACCTCCTATGTGATTGCCCTCCCGGTGATGCGAGGAATGGGTGCTGGGTACCCCACGCCCAGGGTGAAGTGCAGCACCACCTCCTCCTACTGCCAGCCATCTGATGAGGTCATAATAAATAGCGATCATGACTGCACATCCTTTTTTAATGGCTGAAAGAAAATAGGAAGTAAACATCTGGGAGAGTAGGGCTGGATGACACCAAAGGAGACACTTGAAAGTACAGTGGGCTCTCACTATCTGCTGGAGTTTGGTTCCAAGGCCGCCTATGGATACCAAAATCTGTGGATGCTCAAGTTCCATTGTAAAACCAAGGTTTCCTTTAGAATTAAAAAATATTTTCAAGTTATGCATAGTTGGATCCATTCACGCAGAATTTGTGGATGTGTAGGCCAATTGAACAGAGCTGTACTAGTTACTCAATATGGTCCTACAGTTTGATTCCCAAGACAAATTTAGCCCCGGGGTCAAAATGGCTTCCTGTTCATGATTTAGATCTATCATTAAAACTGGGTGACTAAATTATGGCAAGGCTTGAGAAATGACTAGTGGTATAAGCTACAATTGTCCCACTCTGCCAATCATGGAATCTGTTTTAACACACAACACAAGCATATAAGGTTGCCAAGTTTTCAAAATACCTATAAGAGACAGCTGAAATCCATGACACAAAGAGTTGGTAATCAAGGAGCAGCGATTCACATATTTGTGTACTACCTAGAAGTAAGTTTGTCTCAGTAGAACATAAACTTGTGAATCTCTGCTCCTTGGTCATCAACTCTTCATGTTATGTATTAACTTATTTCTCGGTAAAATTAACATAACTATTCAGATGTATAAAATACATGTTGCAACATTTTGTCTGTTTGAAGGGCTCACACTCTTAAAATATATTTGGCATTTTATTCTGTCTCTATAAAAAGATAAGTTAGATAGCCTTCTAATAAGGGACATCCCTTATTTCTGTCCTCAAAGAAGAGGCATCACTTATAATAAGGGACACATAGGAATCCTACAAAAAAGGACACGAGTCTATTTTAGAAATGCTGTTTCTTTTCTGCTTAGCCTACCACATCTTTCCCCTACAATGGTGGTTCTTAACTTGTGGATGTCCAGGTGTTTTGTCCTACAACTCCCAGAAATCCCAGCCGGTTTACCAGCTGTTTTCTGGGAGATGAAGGCCAAAACATCTGGGGAACTACAAGCTGAGAACCATTGTCCTACAAGATTTCTAATGAGCCTACAGTGCCAGGAAGCAGATGTATGTAACTGGTCAAACAACTGGAACAGTTCTTTGCACTAATATTAGCAAGTAAGATCTTCTTTTGGTGCTGTCCTATTGTGCTTTCACTCACTATGACTGTGGTTCTTAACTTGTGGGTCCACAGATGTTTTGGCCTACAACTCCCAGAAATCCCAACAGCTGGTAAACTGGCTGGGATTTCTGGGAGTTGTGGGCCAAAACACCTTGGGACACACGGGTTGAGAACCACTGCACTATGAGATGTAGCAGATGAGATGTGTTTCAAATATTATGAGCTTTCAAATATTATTTCATGTCACTCTAAATTTTAAGGCAGCAAAATACATGAAAAATGCTCTTTCCAGTTACTATGCTTCTAGATAGACCAGCAAAGCAGTGAATACATTTTAATTCTGATTAGCCATTGGAGTGAATTAGGTGTTCTCATGTCAGTGGGTCAGTGAATCAATTTCAGGTTTTAATCTGTTTTAAAGGAACATGTCAAGGTATCCATCAAAGAAAGGTAGTTTTAAAGAAACTATCCCAAATGTGGAATGGATTTATTGCCACAAAGACATGGGACCCAGCAGCCACTACTGAGTGCACTGTAATAACTTTTTTACCTGTGAACTTGATATTCTGGTTTTAAAACTTCATTCAACTCAATCATTCAGAGGCTTGGCTGCCAATGAAAAGTAGCCACAAGGAAAATAGATAATTATAATACTTGCAACATCTTGGCCCTAGTAGTTCAAGACTGGAATTCATTGTATAGTTTATGTTTGCGCTAAAGTAGATAGAAAACACTAGATCTCTGTAACAGTTCTCAAATGCTTTGGTAATTAAGACTAGAAAGAGTTTCCCATAAGAAAAGATAAAAATGGACCTCAAGCAATATTACTGTGATGCTGAATTTATGAAAGGAACTATTATGAGAAGGTTTACATTCTCTGTTAGGCTATTGTTCAGTCACCTGGTCTGTCATTTCTTCGTAGCATTCAGTCTAATACGTACACATTTTAGGAAAATGGTTTCTTTGTAGTATGTTTTCGAGGCCATTGACACTGTGGAGCTATATGAAAAGGGGCCAGGATTAAAGCACACAAACCTTGTTTCATGCAGAAAATATGAAGAATATTGTATGAAAAAAATACCTTAAGGCTATGTGTATAAGGTATATATTAAACAAGTGAAGTTTGTGTTTACGCTTAGGTCCCATTTACAAGATATATCATTATTTATATATAAACAAATACAAATATTCCAATATCTGGAAAAAATGAAATTCAAAACATTTTTGGTCCCAAGCACTTTGGACAGGGAATACTCAATCTGTATGTGTATTAATCTACTATTATTTTTAAAAATGATTGTGAAGCTGTATTTAGATTATATTCATTTTCTATAAATCCTGAAGACCTTTCTAGAATGCTACTGTATGTGATTATGAATTATAAAATTCCCCATACTGCTTTATCTCCATAACTAAGAACAATGAAAATTTACAGTGTTTGTTTTGTTCATAAATCTTAACTTTCTGGATATTTAGTTGTCTCCAGCCACCTAAAGGCAAAGCTATATACAAAATAGCCATTTTCAAATCAACAAATTTTCTCCATCACAAACATCCAATATTTCACATTGTTCCAATAGTTTAACATCTGTTCCCTTCAACATTTCTTCACCAATTAGCATACGAAAATATTTTAAGGATAATCACATTAATTAAAACTAAACAGAAAGGCCCTCAGGAGATTTTCCTAGAAATAATTGTCAGATGCCAATTTAAATGCCAAATGCAGATTGCCTGAAAATAACTTATTCTGCTGAACAAACATATGGTTATGCATCTGAAATTACGGCATGGAATGATGGAAATCAGTCTAGTGCTTCTCCTAAGCAATGCCCTACATATTTTGGAATCCACTGAAATGACTGCAGCATGGATTATACTGACCTTTGGTGTTTAATTGTATATATTTGCATCTAATTCATTTATAGCTGCCCATAGGGATCAATTGCTGGCCCATGGTCAGAGTTCCCTACTTTCAGGACATTTCTGCCTCTTCTCAACCCTGGAACTCCTTGCCTCTCCATGCTTGAAAAGAGGCTGAAGTTTCCTATGAAGTGTCCTATCAAGAGAATTTTTTTCAATGTGATGAGGTTGATTCCATTCACAATTGGCAATGGCTCAATTTCTATCGGGGGGATGTCTGCTGCAGTCTGCCAGAAGTTGACTGGCAACCACCACCCAGGGGACCTTTTCATCGGCTGTCCCAAGACTGTGGGTCAACATGCTGGAAGAGTTAAATGATCTGTGAGAATGTAAAAACAATGTAAAGACCTATCTCTTCTGGCAAACCTATCCGGCCAGTATTTAAACATGAATTTTAAATGTGTGTCCTTTGTTTAATCTCTGTTTTGAGTAATTTAACATGTATTTTATAGAAATATATTTTAATATGTAGTTTTTATAGAAATACATTTTAATATATGTATGTAGTATTTTTACAATGCTTATGTGTTTTAATTATTATTTAATTTATAC